GCTGTAGTTACATGGATGTAGTTACGTGGTTGTAGTTACGTGGTTGTAGTTACATGGTTGTAGTTACATGGCTGTAGTTACATGGCTGTAGTTACATGGTTGTAGTTACATGGCTGTAGTTACATGGTTGTAGTTACATAGTTGTAGTTACATGGCTGTAGTTACATGGCTGTAGTTACATGGATGTAGTTACGTGGTTGAAGTTACGTAGTTGTAGTTACGTGGTTTAAGTTACATGGTTGTAGTTACATGGTTGTAGTTACGTTTACATGGTTGTAGTTACGTGGTTGTAGTTACATAGTTGTTGCATGTTACATGGCTGTAGTTACATGGCTGTAGTTACATGGCTGTAGTTACATGGATGTAGTTACGTGGTTGTAGTTACGTAGTTGTAGTTACGTGGTTGTAAGTTACGTGGTTGTAGTTACATGGTTGTAGTTACATGGTTGTAGTTACATGGCTGTAGTTACATGGCTGTAGTTACATGGATGTAGTTACGTGGTTGTAGTTACATGGTTGTAGTTACATAGTTGTAGTTACATGGCTGTAGTTACATGCTGTAGGCTGTAGTTACATGGATGTAGTTACGTGGTTTAAGTTACGTAGTTGTAGTTACGTGGTTTAAGTTACATGGTTGTAGTTACATGGTTGTAGTTACGTGGTTGTAGTTACATGGTTGTAGTTACATGGTTGTAGTTACGTGGTTGTAGTTACATAGTTGTAGTTACATGGCTGTAGTTGGCTGTAGTTGCATGGCTGTAGTTGCATGGATGTAGTTACATGGTTGTAGTTACATGGTTGTAGTTACATGGCTGTAGTTACATGGATGTAGTTACATGGTTGTAGTTACATGGTTGTAGTTACATAGATGTAGTTAGGTTGAAGTTACATGGATGTAGTTACGTGGTTGTAGTTACGTGGTTGTAGTTACATGGTTGTAGTTATATGGATGTAGTTACGTGGTTGTAGTTACGTGGATGTAGTTACGTGGTTGTAGTTACATGGATGTAGTTACATGGTTGTAGTTACATGGTTGTAGTTACATGGCTGTAGTTACATGGTTGTAGTTACATGGCTGTAGTTACATGGATGTAGTTACATGGTTGTAGTTACATGGTTGTACTTACATAGATGTAGTTAGGTTGAAGTTACACAGTTTTAGTTACTCGGCGGTAGTTACATTGTTGTAGTTATTGCTACTTAGTTGCTGCTAAATTGTTTAATTAAATGGTTGTAGTTTCTTAGTTGTTGCTACATAGTTGTAATTTCATGGTTGTAGTTATTTTGTGTTGGTTGTATTTACAGTACAGAAGTTGTAGTTATAGAGTTGAACTTACAAGGTAGTGGCTGAAGGATGTTGTTACATGGGACTTGGGAGTAGTTACATGGTTGTAATTACATGGCAGGTGGTATGTTCTACATACTCTATGTAGACTAGCATCTACTCCCTGAAGTGAAGATATTTTACAGAAAATAATCACATTCACACATGGCAGTAGTCACAGAGTTGTAGTCACATGTTTGTATTTACAGGACAGTAGTCATGTGGTACAAATTCTATGTAGACTAACATCTGGGCCCACTTGCACAGAGCAATCTTAGTTACAATCAATCTTAGGGCCTTACAATCAACTTTACAATCACCATACAATTGCCCTAATCCACTTTCACAAAGCCGATCTTAGCGCGATTGTAAGACCGCATGGATTTAAGATCGCGATCTTAGCTAAGATCGCGCTCTTCAACGGTGGAGGTGCGAATTTCTTAAACTCGACTCCTGTCTACAGTTGTCTGCAAGTGCGCATAGCATACTGCGCAAATAGAGAGTGATACTGGTCCCTGCACACAATACATGCCTCCCTAAATTGCACTTTGCAGAATTTTCATGAAAAACATTTCAAGAAATCATCGAAGGAAACGATTACGTGGACGATAACATATATTCTTCTACATTTTAACTGTCTTGATTTATGAACTGAGAATGTGATATTTCAACCACGGAAATAATTATGAAATATTGAACTGCGAAAAAATACATTCATAAATTTGGGTCTAGATTTAGTGACTTAATAATTATGAAAATTATAATAATATATCAAATATCGACAATATTTACTTATGATATAACACCTAAATGCATGATTTGCCACTGGTTGTCAATGAGACATTGTTTAATGCACAGCTGTTTTTTTCCCTTTTTTTGTGTGTGTGTAAAATCCTAAATATACCCTAGAAGTATTGGTTTTCTCACAATATAACAAGAAAATGTAATATGGTTACAGAAGTGTTGTAAATACGAATATCAAATAATATATCGAGAGAGCAGTTGTTAAATACTCATTCACAGTATATTAATGATATGACCCTATTGCGTTGATATATATTTTTCTAAAAGTGAAATTAAAATTGAATCTTGATTTTGCACGTTAACTTGTATCTAATTTTTGATTACTTTAATGATTAACTAAGACAAAATCACTCCATCACCGAAAAGAAAATATCTTGAGCTCTGCGATTGGGCATGACAGACTCTACGGCAACGGCATAGGCCAGGGGAAACCACTCCCATCTTGCCCATAAACTAAAATTATCTGCTCTTGAGTTAATGAAAAGTCACGGCCATGGTTTATTCGCACGCGGACACCATTTGCTAGTATCCTTCTCATCAAAAAGGTATGTTGTTTCACACTTATTCCAACATTGAATCGGGTGGGAATAGTACTTTGTGATATCGACTCGATAGTTCTGTGGTTCACTACAGCAAAATAACAATGTATCCGACGTTAATCGGTTGTGCATTCTCCGTGTTGAAGTGTCGAGGCGAATCATACAGTACAGTTTTATGCAATATAAAAGCAATCTCCAAACGTAAAGCTGATTATTTGCGTGAAACTTGAACACCATTTTGTCACAGACTACAATGATCTTAGCTCCTTACAATTGGTCCCGGACCAATTGTAAGTTTCGATTGTAACTTACAACGATCTTAGCCTACAATCGGTTTGTGCAAGTCGATGGCGATTGTAGCCGAAGCCTAAGATCGCGATCTTGTGGATTTACAATAATTGTAGTGCTAAGATCGTTCTGTGCAAGTGGGCCCTGGTCTCTGTAATGAACATATTTTACAGATAAAACGGTTCCTTAATTACATTTATAAAATCATATACAAAAAAGCCTAGAGGCCTTCTTCGTGTGGTAATCTAAATGTCTTTTTTAAAAAGGTAAAAATGTATTTTAATTTTAATCTTGTGTGTTCATATATATTGTGCTTGGTTACTCCATTCTTCTTCACTGGGGTATAGGATTGTGATGAATCCTGTGAAACAATGTCATCATCTCAAAGAATGAAAGTTGTACATATTCTGATCCTTAGTATCATATCACATGTGTATTTTAGACATCTGTTGTGTTGGGGAGCGTATCAGAATGTAATATTTGTAATTATCCGTTGGCGTTGGTCTTTGTGAATGGCTTCCACCTTTCTTTGCATACATAATTCAATAGTTACTTGAAGTTTCCTTCTTTACGGTGTTTGAAGTTTAATTTCATGCCAGGAAATATCGTGATGAGGATGTTGTTATTTGTTTACATAAATTTAAACTAACGAAAACATATCAGCATGTAAATGCACCCTTAAAAGTAGGAGATGATACTCGAAAATAACTGAAAATTGCCATTAATTTCCATTTACAGCTGTAAGACAATACATGAACGAAATGGGAACACATTACTAACGGTATGGCTGAGTGGCTATCTTCAACCAGCAGTCTTCAAACAATATCATGACTGCAAACCAATACTTGAGGGCATGATTGTGAAATGACCTTCGATCACGGTGTTAGAAGTGCATCTGCTGAAGTGGACCCTGGTATTACTATATATGGTATTAGAAACGTATTCTAACCACAGTGATTTAAACATAGCCCAAATATGGATTGTAAACAAGTTTTGTCTCTTGGGACACGAGAAATGTATCATTGTAGGTTCAAATACCAATTGACCACTATTATGTGTCTATGTTTGTGATCAGCATATATGTACCTTCGTGTTTCATCAACGTAGTACCTAAGTCACGAACTGACACCCTCTGGTTCAGATAGTCCTTGTCTAGCGGTTGTGAAAAAAGGACAGCGGTCTCCTCTCGCCAGGCAAACATTGCGCTCTTTGTAAGTGTACCGTCACGTTGTATTGAGTCATGTGGGTTGTTTGGTTTGCTGCTCTGTGTGTTGTGTGTGTGTGTGTGTGTGTGTGTGTGTGTGTGTGTGTGTGTGTGTGTGTGTGTGTGTGTGTGTGTGTGTGTGTGTGTGTGTGTGTGTGTGTGTGTGTGTGTGTGTGTGTGTGTGTGTGTGTGTGTGTGTGTGTGTGTGTGTGTGTGTGTGTGTGTGTGTGTGTGTGTGTGTGTGTGTGAACCTCTCTCACTGGATATACCTGTTTCTTTCATCGGATTATAAGACTGCTTGTGTTGACTGGGATATCAACGCAAATGTAGGTCATTGAAATACGTGTCCTTCAACGAGGGCAGTCAGGTCAGTACTCGGGAAATCTGACAAGAACATGCCAGTGAGTATACCCACCTCCCATATAAAGACATATCAAGATATGCTCTGTCAGTCTATGAACAGGAGGTCCATATTTGGTTGTATGACGAAGTCGTCCAAGTCACTCAAACTGTTATTTGTTCATCAAATTAATAGCTACTGCAGCCCACGATCATGCCCACAGAACAGTATGACTCTAACTCTAACACACAAGGCAATATTCTTAGTACAGACGTAAAAAGGTCGATACCGGAAATAACATACAACATCGCTGAGATCGCCTTTGTCGGTGTACCCTAGATGACATTTGCAGAATGCGTGTTGACCCCAAGGTGTATACATGTATGCTTTTAATTTTTTACAGTCGCATCAGTCAATTTCGAGTCGGAATCATACAATCTGGTTTGTATTTGACTGATATGTCTTACAATATTAAGTGGCTGTGATTTCCTTATGTTACAGGACAATCTAAAGAAGAACGATGCTTGAATGTTTAACTCAGTTGTGGCCGCAGTCTGTGGTAACCCAGGCTCTTGTTGTTGGGATAGTGGTTGGACTCATCGCCTATAATCTCTTCAAGAAACGATACAACCTACCGCCCGGGCCCAAAGGATGGCCATTGATTGGAAACCTTTTGGGTAAGTGACTGTTATATATGTTTTATTTTCAGATTAAATTAAGATATATATATATATATATATATATATATATATATATATATATATATATATATATATATATATATATATATATATATATATATATATATATATATATATATATATATATCTATATATATATATATATATATATATATGAATTCCTCGCGTCAGATCGATAGTTCTACTCATCGAATGAATGACTTCAATCATAAGTTATTTTTCGATTTTGCGTAAGTGACTTTTATGTAAATGTCATATTCAATTTGAATTTGACACGTCAGCTCGATATTATTACACATCAGATTACTTGATTAAATAATAATGTGTTCGATTTCCCAACTACATTAAATGTTTAAAGTCTATACTGTCAGAGCTGGATATTATCTCTCAACACATGTAAATTGCGGCTAGTAATCAGGTTATATTTTTTCATGTTCTTGTGTACATGGATTGTGAAGAAGCAGGTGTTAATGTACAAAAACTGTATGTTGTACAAAGCCGACACATATGTACACATATGTGCATACATACACGCATGTGCAAACACCCACTATAAAACGAAATGCAACAAGCGAAAACATTGTAATAACAATTACCACCAATTGACTACAAACCTGCAACTATTATCCCCGTAATATGTAACTACAACCATGTAACCAGAAACAGGTTAGCGTTGCAGTCTGAATGCAACAATGTATCAAGCATCACATTGTAGTAACTACAATCTGAGTACAATTCTGGGTCCCGATCCACAAAACGTTCGTAGCGCAACAACATTCGTAAGCCAACGACAACTCGTAACGTTACGAACGCTTTGTGGATCAGGACGCTGTAAGTACATCTATAACGTGGCTTCGACCGATGTAGCCACATCCATGTACATGCAATCATGTAACAAATACCATGCGTATATAATGTGTAAATACGACCATGTAATTAAGCATGTAAGAAGAGCCATGTAAGTAAAACCACATCATGATGGTACTTTTTATCTCCAGAGCTGCGAGGGGGTCTCCTGTTCCGAAAACTCAGTGATTGGAGCAAAACGTACGGTCCAGTTATGACGATTCAGTTGGGTAAGATTACCTGCTTCACGATGGTACAATGATATATCAGGTAGAAATGTGGAGAGTATCTTCAAATCTAACGCACCAGTGACAAATATATCTAGTGCAGTTAATTATTTTGTCGCACCATATAGGCTATTTTGGTGTGGTTCTTTTTCTGGTGATTTGCTTCGTGATTGTATGTGTCTAATAACTTCTTTAAGTGGCAGTTTGAATGGTATGATGAAGAGGAACACAACTTCTTTTTTGTTATCAAGCAAATGATGATTGATGATTGACCATTTGCTTGATAATGGTGTTAGTATCTACGGCGAAACCTCGCATCTATTATAATGAAGAAGTTGTCTATCCATATAAAGTGTTCGTCTTCGTGTCTCTAACAGGTGCGACGGGTGGGGCAGGACACTCCTGGCTATTGTTGTAAACACCTGGTACCATGACTATTTAATAGAGATCTTCAAGTGCATCCTTAGTTTATTTGTGAATGCTTGGTACTATCACCATTTGATAGTGAGTGATCTGTAAATGCATTCTCAGGTATTTTTGTGAACACTTGGTACCATCACTATTTAAAAGTGATGTTTAAATGTATCCTTAGTTTATTGTGAGCACATTGTACTATCACTATTTGATAATGATCTTCAAATGCATCCTTAATTTTTGTGAACACTTTGTACTATCACTATTTGGTAATGGTCTTCAAATGTATCCTTAGTTTTTGTGAACACTTGGTACTATCACTCTTTGGTAATGGTCTTCAAATGTATCCTTAGTTTTTGTGAACACTTGGTACTATCACTATTTGGTAATGGTCTTCAAATGTATCCTTAGTTTTTGTAAACACTTGGTACTATCACTATTTGGTAATGGTCTTCAAATGTATCCTTAGTTTTTGTGAACACTTGGTACTATCACTCTTTGGTAATGGTCCTCAAATGTATCCTTAGTTTTTGTGAACACTTGGTACTATCACTATTTAATAGTGATCTTCAAATGCATCCTTAGTTTCTGTGAACACTTGGCACTACCACCCATACTATCACTCCATGCATCCGTATGATACAATGATGGATCCCAATCAAATGCAATGCAGACTTGTCACTTTTACAACAGAGGCGGACACACACACACACACACACACACACACACACACACACACACACACACACACACACACACACACTTAAAGAGATATTGCAATACACATTGTGATATATTGAGTGGAATATTTCTGCCCAAGTGCGTATATCATAACTTCATAATAGCTCTGTGTGTGCAACTCGATCTTCTTAGTAGCTGTTACACCATACTTTCCCCATTGTGTATGGCTGTATGCCAATCGTTTACAGATAAATACAATAATATAGAGCCTTAATGTGGAATGTATTGCAACGACGTTTTCCGAACATAATGATAATGGTAACAGTATAACATGATTTTCATAGTCATAGTTGTTTGCTTCAACAGTATGAACTTCAATGCAGTATGTAATTACTGTCACTGTATGTCAGTGATTCATTCAGATTCAATTTCAATATAAACATGTGTTGACATGAACTATTGCAAAATGAAACCAAAACACGATTTAGTTGAACTACTTGAGATTAAAATCTCATGTTATTTCCAATAAGATCCTTGGCTAGAATGTCATTACACAGTCCTACAAATTGTTTAAGACTCAGGCCTTTATGATAAATTGATATCATATGTCCCATTATGAAAGAAACAGAAATAACAAAATACTGCGAACTGTGAAATGGTCACTCAGAGCCAGCGGCTCTACTAATAAATCCAAATAAATATTGGTTAAACCGTTCATTTGAGGCCATTTTATTCCTCCAAATGAAGCCATTCAAACCCTCAAAACGTAAAAGCATTTGGTAGAATATCTGGCAATTTTGGAGCCACTTATAATGACACTTCCACTTGTAAAATGTTACATGAAACCAACAGAAATAAAAGTAGATTTGGCACTTATAGAGCACATTTTGTTGCTATGGAAATCAAGGGCAGATAATTCAAATGGAGCTAACTTTGGATGACCAATATATTGCAGAATCTGAACCATAACGCGATAATCGTATCGCGAGGTACTGTACCGGTATATACCGGTTTACCGGTAATATTGCTCAGCCATAGTAAATGACCATTGAAACTCTCGTGAATACTGGTGAAAATGAACTACTGATTGAATGTAGAAAGCATGAATACTGAGGACACCTTACATGGTCCACTGTGATGGCCAGCCAGGACGTGGGTGGTGTGTCTTTAATAAGAAGGCGACATTCATTACAATAATAGAAATGAACATATTGCTTTTCAGGTACTCTGACTACAGTTGTTCTGAGTCGAATCGACGTTGTAACGGAAGCTCTCATTACAAGACAAGCAGACTTCGCAGGAAGGCCCGATACTTTTGTTGGTAAGGAGACTCAGTCATTTACCACAAGAGCTGCAGACACATTCTTCGAACCAGACCATATAATTCATTATTCAGCTCTATGCTTTTTAATGCGTCATATTGAGTAATCAAAACATTTAAATGTTTTTGAATGTCAAGCAGATTATATTTGCATATTTACAAAAAGTGCAAATCTACGAAAGTCTCCCCGTCCGATTTCATGATCGTTATTGAGATATCTTCATGAAAGTTGTTTCCTAGTTTTCATTGTTTTGGAAAATGACACCTAATAAAACTGTCAAAACTATCTCATGCGTTCGAATGAGCATTGACATACATCTGGTCAGTTCATACACTTTATATATCCAAAGTACGTACACTCACTGAGGGAGGAAAAGACATAGTCCAAGCATCGTACGGCCCAAGATGGAAGTTGCACAGGAAAATAGCATCTAAGGCACTAAGGTAAATTTGGATTTGTTTATGTCAACGTCAAATGGGTTTTATGGGAGATAACCTCAGCTTGAAGATATTCCAGTCACTCAACATCACAACCAAGTTGATGAGAAAGGAACTCCTTGTTATCTTTAAAACTGATATGAATGTTGGTAATACCCATGACTTTCAATGTAGCTTGTAGTTTTAATGAGGAAATGGATTCATTTATCCCCAAAGTAACATTAACTGACAAATTAGAAAGAACATATCATACTGCTCAAAACAAGTTACGTGCCATTGGCAACAATAAAGACACTAAAACTCTTATCAAAACGCAAGAGAATTAATTGTGAAATCTTCACACTGATAACAGCTGTCATTTTCCTATTCACAAATCAATAAGAAAATACGGCAAGGATATTACAAGGACAGATTTGATGTTCAGAAATGCATAAAATGTAAAATAAATATTAAAAAAGCTGACATAAGAATTAAATCAGTGATAGAAAGCTCAACCCAGCAGGAACAGTACTCGAGCTTCTTAGAATGCCTAGGCTGGATAACAAGGGTGAGAACAAAAAGTCTTCATACAAGCGCATCAGATGTAAGATGCCTGTGGCATGCACTTGCTCACTTAAATAGTCCAAATACATTCGAGAAAGTATTATACGATGTTGGCTAGGTCTGTGATATATAATTCGTGCCTCAATATCCTCAAAAGTTGCTCCAAGATTATTCTTCAAGTTTTCTTTTCTTCTCTTGAATCACGTTCTTGAAACCATGAGTTGCACACACCACTCACTGTTATTTTACAAGCTATTTATCATATCAGCCATTTGAGTGAATCTCCCTCTGAATTATTACAGTATAAGGCAGATAAGTTATCTAACGTTTCAGCTGGTACAGACACCACGAGAAACACGCTCCACTGGTGTCTCCTGGCAATGGCTCTCCACCCTGACATTCAGAAGAAGGTTCAGAAAGAGGTGGATTCAGTTATTGGTGGGTTGCAAGAAAGTCAGATGCACTATTTAAAACCCTAGAAACACTCCTGGTGTCCTTTTGTTAGGGTGAAATAAAGGTCCCTGCGAGTCCGTTAAATGACACTTTTGAGCATATACAACCACACATAATATTCTCTTATCATTCACCAAACTCGACAGAGAATGAAAAACTCAGGCTGACCGTCTTATCGTCTTTTCCTTTATTGATTCAGAAAATGTTCAAGCTATCATAATTCAGTGCGTGCATACATCATGCACATGGGGTCCCGGTGTGCCTCTTCGAATTGAGTGTGATTGAAGTTTCTGTGGAAATATTGACTTGTGAAATTGCTAAAATGGCCAAAGAAACACAATGCATCCTGTTAGCAAATAGGATGCAGAATGTTGCGTTACGATGCATTGTGGGTAGTACATATGACCTTGTCCATGTCTCCTTGACAGTGATATTTGTTGTGGTTGCAGGTCCTGATCTGAACGTGCACGTTTCGGACAGGGAGAACTTGCCATACACCGATGCAGTGATACATGAGGTCATGAGGTTGAGGACAGTCGTTCCTATTGGCGTTCCTCACTCCACCCTGTGCGATACCACAGTTGGTAGGTATTACAGTACGTTGCATAACGTATATAATGGAAAAAAGGATAAATATGGGTGATACCTATGGTGTATATGAGCTGGATTTCATCCTGAAAAATAAGAACATTTGTGCACATATATTTTATGAGTTTTTTCATCTTTCTTGGTTCATGTCTGGTCAAGGACAAATGTTTGCTGCCTGTATGTGTATCTCGAGCATCCATGGCACCAGGGCTTCCGAGTCTGATGGTGGTGGTGTCCGCGGCGGCGGTGGTGTCCGAGGCAGTGGTATTGATGGTGGTGGTGGTGCTGCTGCTGCTGATGATGATGTTCCTTTTTGATATTACATTTTAGGCCAATGAAGATGTTTATCATCATGCCATCAAACATGTAGGTAGATAGATTACGTTTATGAGATGCTGATGTATGATTTCCAGGTGGCTACGATGTTCAAAGGGAACAATGGTGGTCATCAACCACGACGCTTTGCACTTTGACCCTGACCAATGGGAGGACGTCAACATGTTAAAACCTGAACGATTCCTTGACTCAGATGGGAAGATGGGTCCGAAACCTGAAAGCTGGCTTCCGTTTTCTGCCGGAAGGAGAGTCTGTCTTGGTGAGACTGTCGCCAAACCCGAGATCCACCTCTTTCTTGCTGGAATCCTGAGGGTATTCTCCATATCACTCGCCCCTGGAACACAACACGACTTTGAGCCACAGAGTAAGGGGATTGTCAATACTCCAGGGAGATACAAGGTTGTTATGGAATGGAGAGGTTAAGTTGGTTATTTGTTTTTAACGTCATTTTGAACAGAGTATCAAGGTCTTTTTATCTTGTCAAAATACTGAACTTCACTCAGCCAGTGAGGGCGGGGTGGTGACAAACACAAGAATTATTATGACGGACAACCTGTGATTCGATACTGCTCAGTGTGACGTTAAAATCAACTAATTAAGACTGACCAATCGGTGAAGAGGTTTAAGACAGATATACTATATAGACAATCATATGATAGGATTTACTCTTTAACTACCACACAGAAAACGTTGTTTGTCTTCTTTCCATTTCAAGTCTATATTTTTTTATTCATTTTGAATGGAATCGCTACTTAAATTTCAAGTCTCATCTTCAATAAATACAATTGTCAAATATAAAAAATTGAACACTTTTGGCACCGACCATTTGCTATTTTGTAGGTGTAGTTATCATGATATATCACAGTGTTGGTGTTGTTATCTTGGTTTATCACAGTGTCGGTGTAGCTGTCAGAATATATCACAGTGTTGGTGTGGTTATCATAATATATCACAGTGTCGGTGTAGTTGTCATGATATATCACAGTGTCGGTGTGGTTATCATGATATATCACAGTGTCGGTGTCTGGTCTTATATCAGATCAGCTTGGCGTGGCTACAGAGGTATTTGTTGATAACCTTGATTCTGTCTAACAAGGAAGTTAGAAAATCCTGAGTCTACTGTTTCAATATCTCACCACTCTCCGAGTGTGTTTTCAAAAAAAAAAAAAGTAGCGCAGTTGCTTAATTTGAAAACTAATTATTGTGCTCACTCATTCAATCGGAGTGATGCAACAATAAAACTTAGAATATTGATGTTACATGGTCTGCAGCCATAACGGCAGTACTGTTTGCCCTGTCACAAGACGCATACGTCCATCAGTGCTTGTGTGACCACGATGCTCTCCTTGGCAAAGACTGAATCAGTGTTGGGATTTGTCCTGTAAAATGTCAAGCCATTGTTCATGCAACGCGGTGGCGTATGTGGAAGATGGCGTGCATGTCTATGGGACTAATTACACAGACGCTTTATCGGGTTGACATCTGGAAATATGGAATTCTATGACAAGACGTAGCAATTCAACAGTAACACTAGCTATAATTTGTGTGTGTAGCGTTGTCATGCTGGAACAACTACGAGCTTTGTGTGGTGTAGCGTTGTCATGCTGGAGCAACTCCGAGCTCACAACTCCGAGCTTTGTGTGGTGTAGCGTTGTCATGCTGGAGCAACTCCGAGCTCACAACTCCGAGCTTTGTGTGCTGTAGCGTTGTCATGCTGGAACAACTCCCTCTACCCACTGGTAGTCAGAGTAAGGTGACGTTGAAGAAGTCGATGTCAGTTTTGCTGTCAGATTCCCCTGAACCTCCAGGTTCACCTACCTCCGAGTCCAGGCTCCCAGACTCGTGAAGGTCCGGGTTCAGTAACCCATGCTTGTCGTAAGAGGCGACTAACGGGATCGGGTGGTCAGGTTCAATGACTTGGTTGACACATGTCATCGGTTCCTAATTGTGCAGATCGATGCCCATGCTCTTGATCACTGGATTGTCTGGTCCAGACTGGATTATATACCGCCGCCATATAGCTGGAATATTGCTGAGTGCGGCGTAAGACTAAACTCACTCACTCACTCACTCAGTCCAGGCTCCCAGCACCGTCACACTTTCACCACCGAATCTGGCTACCAGGATCGAACCCCTACCCTTCTACTCTCTGGACACTTAAAACCGCGATCAGCAATATTCCACATATGTGCCTGTACATACTCGAGTTTTTACAGGACAAACCAGTGATCGATATCATGAACGACAGGCAATGATCATGTCTTGCCATCCACTCTATTCATATGCCCCCAACGACCAACCAGAATATATGTTGCGGAAGACAATTCTTTAAGAATGTACTTAAGAAACAGAAAATACTGCCGAATGTGATAAGAAAGGTATTCTCACAAAATAGAACCAACAACATGTGAATTGGTGCATTGTATTTGCGCATGAAGATTTGCATGGGAAAAGAGCTGCACAATAATCATGTGGAACCTGAATTAGCCTGAATAAATGAATATTATCTATACTCTTGTGTGCGTATTTATTATTCTTGGTTGCTCCCATCTTGTTCACTAGGGGCGGTGGGGTAGCCTAGTGGTTAAAGATTTCGCTCGAAGACCCGGGTTTGATTACCCACATTGGTACAATCAAGTTTAGCTTTACTTACTTAATAAGGACACGCTACTGATTTGATACTATTCAAGGTGGAAATATACCCAATTAATAAAGGCTCACCAATCGATAAATGGGTTTTAAGATAGATATACTATATGAACAATGAAATAATTGAATTCACTCTTCAGCTAGCACACACACAACGTCGTTGATGTTGTTTTCTTTGGTCACTTTATATTTTTCACTTTATGTTAATCATTAATTCAATTGCAGGTCTGATCTTCAATAAATACAATTGTCAAAAGTGACAAACTTGACGCTAACCTTGAAATAAATGACACCTGTGTTTCATATCTACATCTGTGTGTATGAAAGGTGACAAAAACTCCCATGGCGGCACGACAAGATTGATGACCTCATGGCTCTTTTGCCCCTTCTTTTACATCAAAGGGAATATGTTTCTGGGGATAACTGAGACTCGGTATTCTTTAGCACTGACGTTATATCTTATATCCTAAATCTAATGTAGCAGCACATTGCTCCAAGCCAATCAACTGTAAAAATAATTCTCCATGCTTTTATAGATGCCTCTCACCCATAGCAATTGCTTGATGACGGTTACACCTAAACGTCGCTACTGATTGTAATAAAGAATTTTGTCATTCACACATATCCTATCTTTAGTCTGAAGTGTCCTTTTGTCAACTGACATTATTTTGTGTAATGAATCTTCGTTCTCCGAAGTGTGGTAGAGCCTAACGGTGATTTGTTCCAATTATATAACAACTAAATCATCTGCTCAGATGCCACGACGTGAATCCAGACAAACCAGACAATCAAGAGTGATCAATGGGCCAGAAAATGGGTGCGTGTGAAAATGAGTATGGTTTCACGCTGTTTTATCAATATTCCTGCTTCATCTGGGAACACCAGAATTTGCTTCACTCATCGTACCCATTTGGGAATCGAACCAGGGACCCACCGCCCTGCCGTAGAATGTAGTTTGATGACTTTGAATTGTGTCTGCTGTGTAGAAGGACACAATGTGGATAAGCCACCACAGGCGTCGAATGTTAGAACCTAAGATCCATTTGACGGCATCGGGTGAGATGGCAGGACGCGTAACTGAAAGTTGCAGAGGAAGACCATAAGTGGCCATGTATGTCAGATGTATTGCTAAATACAATGCGCTGATCAACAGACAGTGTGAAAATTAACTTTTGAAGGATCGCTCATTTCTCCTGCCAGTGACAGGAGATTACAGGAGATCCAGCGGGATTACGGACAAGGGAATAGGGAATAGGGAGAAAGAAGGGGAATGCATGTTATTCATGTGAAGTGTTTTTGTGCAAATCCTGTAATCTACGTTAGAAAGGCATTCATTGACAACCTGATCAATAATATTACCTTTGTAAATGTTGTTGTATTGTCAGTGAAGTTCATGATATACCTCTCAGATGTCGATTCTTTTGTCTTCTTCTTTTGCGTAAAGAACTTCATTTAACAGTATAACATACAATTATATTTTCAAGAGCTTTGACTATTTATTTTTATAATGCTAACAAACACATCTGACTGGAAAGGGTGTTACATGTAATGTTGTTTTCTTAACGAACCACAACTTTGGGATTAACGACTGAACTTTGTGAATGATACTTCCCTTAAATGTGTTATGCAGCCACCATAAAGAAAAGTCACGTAGATTACAACGGTTGTGCAGGGTGGTATTGCATGAGATGTGATGGAATTTTTACAAGCTAACAATTGTGAGTACCACAATTTCTTATTTTCGTCCGTGACACTTTCTTCAATAAAACAGCAACAACAAGTGACAGAAATATTGTCTTTATTTTTTAACGATTTGTGTCTTTCAAATTGGGCATTCTCTGTGAGAATTGTTGAAGTGTGTATGTGGCTGCTTGTGTCTTCAAAAAGAAAAAGGAGCGTAAGTGCTAACTTTGGAAAATAATTATTGTGTTCACTCATTCAAACGGCTTCATACATGACACATACGTCCATCAGTGCTTGTGTGGTCACCATGTCCTGGTAGCACTGCTGTCAGTCTCCTTGGCACACAGTGAATCAGTGTTGGAAGTTTGTCCTGTAAAATGTTCAGTGATTGTTCATGAAACCTCTTAGGGTATGTGGCAGATGGCGTACATGTATATGGGACTAATTAAACAGTCTGTGACAAGACATAGCAAGTCAACAGTAACACTAACTTTAATTTGTGTGCTATTGATACATGGCAGTGGTTGTCATGTTGGAACAACTCTGAGCTTTGTGTGGTGCAGCGTTGTCATGCTGGAAAAACACCCTCTATCCATTGGTAATCCGAATTAGGTGACGTTGAAGAAATCGATGTCAGAATTGCTGTCAGATTTCAGGGTGGAAGATACATGGCAGTGGTTGTCATGTTGGAACAACTCTGAGCTTTGTGTGGTGCAGCGTTGTCAAGCAGGAAAAACACCCTCTATCCATTGGTAATCCGATTTAGGTGACGTTGAAGAAATCGATGTCAGAATTGCTGTCAGATTTCAGGGTAGAAGATACATGGCAGTGGTTGCCATGTTGGAACAACTCCGAGCTTTGTGTGGTGCAGCGTTGTCGTGCTGGAACAACTACCTCTATCCATTGATAATCAAAATAAGGTGACGTTGAAGAAATCGATGTCAGAATTGCTGTCAGATTCCCCTGAACCAGACCCGAGAAGATCAAGGTTAGAAATGATCTTCAATAACCCATGTTTGTCGTAAGGGGCGACTTACGGGATCAGGCTCGCTGACTTGGTTGACACATTTCATCGTATCCCAATTGCGTAAATCGATGCTCATGGATTGTCTGGTCCAGACTCAATTATTTACAGATCGCCGCCATATAGCTGGAATATTTCTGAGCGCGGCGTAAAACTCAACTCACTCACTCACACTCACTTCAACCTGACCGCAAATAGTACAACATACATGAACAAAATACGTTCCATCAGTTACAAAATATGGAATGGATGTTTCTTTTTAAACAGAGACGTCATAGAATGAAAAATGCAGAATATTGTTGTTAGATTTGTATCTGCCCAGAGTAAACCAAGATATAGGACATCATTCCTTCATTTGTGTGGAATTCATTAAATTGTCGGCACCTGTCAATTAAATATGAATCACTCTTTCGTCCCAACCGCTAACCCTACAGCTGGTCATCACCAGCTCCTACAGAATAACACTATTCCCTTACTCTTACTTCAACCTGACCGCAAATAATACAATATATACCTGAAAAAAATGCATTCCATCAGTTAGAAAATATGTGCATTTTCTTCCTTGTACTCTTCTCCTTATAAGGGACATTGGGTAGCCTAGTGGTTAAAGCGTCCGCTCGTCACAATGGTTCGATTTCCCAGATGGGTACAATGTGTGAAGCCCACTTCTGGTGTGGAGATATTGCTGAAATATTGCTACCCATACTCACTCACTGACTCACTCATCACATTCTACTCGACAAAGACTGACACTGGTATTTGATTGAAGTGATGGCACTGAGCAACTATTAAAACGACCCAACAGTTTTCTACACGAATAAATCCCAAGTTCAGATGAGACCTAACTGACAGGTATGATAGGTTAGCAGTGCCCTTCACCCGTTACTGCAAACATCGTCAGCGCTAATAATAGGTGTAGCGATAGCCTTGTATGGTTTGAGAGTAGACGTGATCTTGATATGTCCAACACTCAGGACCAACAGTGGATATGTGAGTCATACAGCAGTGCCCTTGTCAAAGGGCGTAGCTACCATTTTGAAAAGGTCCGGGCTTACACATGATTTTTGCTAAAGATCACAATGGAATTTAGGCAAGCCCACAATACTATCTAAATATATTAAGCTTTGCAACCTATCGGACTTACACGAAAAAATGGCTTATTACGCGCCTGCTTGTGTATGTCACAGACTGCCTCCATTACCTATTTCACAGGAGAGAAAATACGTAGGTACGTGCAATGTTTTAGTTGCAAGGACGTTGTTACAGGGTGTACTTACATGCATGTAACTTCAGGATGACGGTTACATGGTAAGTGAGTGAGTGAGGTTAGTTTTACGCCGCACTCAGCAATATTCCAGCTATATGGCAGCGGTCTGTAAATACTCGAGTCTGGACCAGACAATCCAGTGATCAACAGCATGCGCAGCTGGGAGCCAATGACATGTGTCAACAAAGTCAGCGAGCCTGACAACCTGATCCCGTTAGTCGCCTCTTACGACAAGCAGAGCGATAGATACAGGTAGATATTTCAGGGTAGAAGTTACATGGCAGTGGTTACACTGTTACATGGCATTAGTATCACGGGTGTAGTTACAGAGCGATAGATACAGGTAGATATTTCAGGGTAGAAGTTACATGACAGTAGTTACACTGTTACATGACATTAGTAAAACGGGTGTAGTTACAGAGCGATGGATACAGGTAGATATTTCAGGGTAGAAGATACATGGCAGTGGTTACACTGTTACATGGCATTAGTAACACGGGTGTGGTTACAGAGCGATAGATACAGGTAGATATTTCAGGGTAGAAGTTACATGGCATTAGTACCACGATTGTAGTTACAGAGAGATAGACACAGGTAGATATTTCAGGGTAGAAGTTACATGGCAGTGGTTACACTGTTACGTGATATTAGTAACACTGGTGTAGTTACAGAATTACAGAGAAATAGGTGCAGAGAAATTAGGTAGAACTTGACTAAAATACCAACTATTTTGAAGCCCCAAATTAACAAGACCAGTACGCTACACATTTTCCACCTTAAACTGTAAAATGATGCATTAAGTTCCAGTTCTAAAATGTCTAACACCGTTCATAACTCACCTTGACAAACAGTTCCCATGGAACTAGTAAGTGGCTGAGTGAATGTTGTTTTTGACGTCAACCAGATGTTTTCAACTTGATGGCATGATTGTGAAATGACCTTCGATCATCCATGTACACAGTGTTAGAAATGCAAGCACTGAAGTGGACCCTGGTATTACATTAGATGGTATTAGAGATGTGTTCAAACACCGATCACGCCTACTTTAAGGAAAACCCAAATATGGCTTGTGAACATGCTAGGTGATAAGAAGGACATGTGTGACATCGTAATTCTCTGTGAAAGTTGTGTCTCTTGGGCTAACCAGAAAGTGATATCGTGGGTTGGCCACGATTATTATCTGTCAGCACCACATGTGTATCTATTGTGAAAAAGGGCAACACTCTATTGATGCAGGCTTCTCTCGCCAGGCAAATATCTTTGTAAGCGTACCATCACGTTAGTGTTTTGAGTTGTTGGTCGGTTTCCATATTAATTACCCTAGCATTGCAATTGTTTGTTGATTAAAAGTAAAAGAACCCGAAATGGATACATTTTGGAAAGTAAAAAGCAATAACACTTGAAAATTGACGAGGAGAGGTTGGAAAACCTTGTGGTAAACGCGTTCGCTCTTCACGCCAAAGATCCTGGTTCAAATCTGACATGGGTACACTTTGTGAAACTGATTTCTGATGTCCTCCTCCATGACATGGCTAGAATATTACTGAAAGTGGCGTAACATGGCGTTGACATGTATGCATATTACGCCTTCTATTTGCATTTTGTGGGTTTGAAACCAATGCCAATACGACCATTATGATACCTGTAAAAGGAAAGATGTTTGTAGACTTCCAGCGAGCGCGACTCTGCTGTTGATACTACCACGTCTGAGGTCCCCAACTCTACAGTGTGAATCACAGCACATATGCTCACAGCACACTCGGTCCCCGTCCGAACCACACACAAATACCCCACTGCAACCATTATTCCGAACCTGTCAAGATCCGGGCTAAAATCGGTCTGCAGACACTCATGCTTGTCGTAAGAGACGGGAACAGGTGATAAGGCTCGTTGACATGGTTGAGACATGTCATCGTAACCCAATACCGTAGATCAACACTCATGCTGTTAATCACTGGATTGTAAGATGCAGTTACAGACCGCCGCCATATAGCTGGAATATTGCTGAGTGCAGCGGCAGTAAACTACAAGCAAAGCAAAAACCCATTGTTCTCACCCCAACCTGACCATACCTGACCAAGCAGCACACATACCTCCTTGAAAACGATACAATGATCTGTATCGAAACGTCGCATCACCTGAATAAAGAAGTTGTTCATCCATAAAGTTTGTCCTTGTGTGACTCCCCAACTTGCAACTCAAAGAAGTTCAATGAACCTGTTTGTGTGACCTTGACCAGGTGGACAATATCACATGCCGGGGATATTATCGCCCAAAGTAGGTCATCAAAATACGTGCCCTTGAACGAGAACAATCAGGTCAGTAAACAGAACGTCTCTCAAGCAGACGTGGTATTTCACAATACTCACCTTCTATATAAAGACACACCAACACACGCTTTTTCAGTCTGTCCACGGGTACGGCATCACTGAGGTAGGTATTTAGTCGTATGTTGAGGCACATTCAAAGTGACTCGACAAGCCATTCGTTCTGTTGTAGCGACTTCAGCAGCCTGGTAACATGTTCCTATAAACAGCTTTAGGTCAGGCATAAAGTGGAGGCTCGATACCGTACATAACATAAAATCACAGACACACAGCTCAGGTCTCCTTGTTTCAGTGTACCCTGATCGACACTGTCGTGCACACACTATTGTCTGAAGACGGTGTGTTGACCACAAAGTGTAGACTGGTATGTTTACAATTCTACAGTCGTATCAGTCAGTTCGAGTCAGAGTCATGCACTGGATGTCTGGCTGCTGTGTCTCTTAATACTGAGATGCTGTGACTTCCTTCTGTTCCAGGAAAATCTAAAGAAGGACGATGTTTGAGTGTTTATATCTATCATCATCGAAACATCGGTGGTTTTGTAAAGTGTGTGAGTTTCTTGTTTTGTGTGTGTGTGTTGAAATGTCTCACCAAGATGACCAAAACACCCAGCTTAATTCCTTCCTACTGTCCTGGAAAATTAAAGGGAACAAGGGCAAGATGGTGAGTGGGTTAGTTGTTGTTTAACGCCGCACTCAGCAATATTTCAGCTATATGACTGCGGTCTGTAAATAATCTAATCTGGACCCTATAATCAAGTGATCAACAGCATGAGCATCAATCTACGCAATTGGGATACGATGCCGTGTGTCAACCAATCCGGTCAATCGCCTCTTACGACAAGCATGGGTTACTGAAGATCAATAATTTTAACCCAGATCTTCAAGGGCTGTTTTATGAATAAGTGCATTGTTTCAGATTCAAGCACATACATACGTAAATATGACCATCATACGGTCCAAGCATACGACTACAGCCATGGAGCTACAACCATGTAACTAGAAACAGGTAAAATACTTTAATGTAAGTAGTAAACAATGTAACTCTAACCCTGTAGTAACTACAATCTGGATTTAATATAATCTTCCCGTCTTGGTGTGATGTTAGATAAACGTGGCATACACTTGCCCACTTATATAGTCTTATTACCTTCCACAAAGGTCTATACTATGCTGGATAGGTCTATGCTGTTCTAGAAGATTGCAGATTACCCTTGACTGCTTGACCCTAGAGTCTATCTGGATAGAGTAGTAGCTTCTGCATCACTGAATACCTAATATAAACTCTGTCAAAAAGAAACGCAACCCCTGTATTTTAGAGATTTTGATCTGAAGTTTTAGGACGACACGGCATTTTATTATTTAAGACAGAAGTCTGAAATTTGGCAGAATAATAACCCAGATGGGCATGTTTAAAATTGTCATTTCAAAAGTCATCTCCACAGACACCAGTTTGTCACCAGGGGGCGTCTGTCTCAGTATCTCGTATGAGCACCACGCGCTGCAATCACTGCACGGCATCTCCTTGGACAAGAACGGATAAGACGCCGGATTCTTTCCTGGGAATGGCTCTCCACTCCTCCTGCAGTGCAACGGCGAGCTGTTGCAGCGTCTGTGGCGGCGGCTGACGTTGACGTACGCGTCGATCCAGAGTATCCCACAGGTGTTCAATAGGGTTGAGGTCTGGTGATTTAGAGGGTCATGGCAAGACATTGACGTTGGAATTCTGCAGAAAGTTCATTGTTGCACGTGCAGTATGAGGCCGGGCGTTGTCCCGTTGAAAAATCTGTGTCTGTTGGTCAATAATCGGGAGAAGGTGAAGCTCTAACACGTGGTTGATGTAACGTTGGGCTGTCAGGTTCCCTGGAACGATCACCAAGTCAGATTTCTGGTTGTATGAGATGGTTCCCCAAACCATGACGCTTTCTCCGCCAAATCTGTCCACCTGTCGGACGCAGATGGGCGCTAAACGTTTATGACGTCTCCTATACAGACGCTGTCTTCCGTCGTGACGTTGCAAAGAAAACGTGATTCATCAGAAACCAGATTCGCCTCCCAGTTTTGTAAAGTCCGTATCCTTACGTTGTTGCACCACCTGAGTCGTCGGCGTCGATGTAGGGGGCGTAGTACAGGTCCAACAACTGGTCTACAGGCACGTAAACCCGCTTCTTTCAGACGGTTCCTAATCGTTTGAGCTGACACTCTCCTCAAACCTGGTATTTGTGTGGCAGTCACGGTTGGTAGGGCATGCCGATTACGCAGGTGATGGACCCGATGTACCGATCTTGAAGGGGGTCGTGATTCTTGGCCTTCCACTTCTCGGGCGATCGTTGGTCAAATTGAAGTTGTTGTAGCGGCTCCAAAGTCGGGATATCGTTGTTTTGTGAACATTTAGGTGCCGTGCAACAGTTCCAAAACTTTCTCCGGCTTGAACACGACCAATGGCGATATTTCGGTCGGCAGCACTCAATCGTGGCATTTTTTAACACAGCTTTTTCGGCGACAAAATGAATGAATATAATACGGGAAGCACATGGGCTTTTATACACCCTACATTAACTGCCATTTTCATGATTTGCATGTGTTTTTTTGTGCGAAGTCAGCATGAGGGTCATTTCATGCGTTGTGACGGAATAAGCAATAAAATACACTTATGCGTACAAATGCAGTTGTTTGGATGGTAATCTTCATTAATTACGTTTATTATTACCTTTGATAGTAATACATTCCTGATAACTAACAATTTTCAGAAGACAATGTTTATGAATCGCTCATGAACCTTAAAAGAACATTGCATTCTCTAAAAAGGAATTTCACTGCCATATTACAACCCTCAATTAAAATAGTATGTTCGATGATTAAAGGTTATTGGTCATGGCCATGAGTCGGGCCTTTATAGTTGTCAAGAAGTTTATACTTAATTAACAGCTGGACTTCTCTTGAGAAGCATAGTTGTCAAGAAGTTTATACATAATTAACAGCCGGAACAGACACCTCTCACGAATTACTAGGATGTCTCCTTGTGATAGATGGGGACGACACCCATCAGGTGCATATCCTAACAGGAGCAAGCTAGAAAGCCATACAAATCTTTGTAGTCTTTTACTGCTACAGAGATGTTGCACTAAGATTGTTCACTATGTTGACATTGCTTGTCTTGAATCACCATTTTGAAAACAATGAGTGAATCACAACTCTCACCGTTGTTTTAAAGGACACTTATCGCTTCTCTTTGAATTCATGGTATAATACATATATGTCATGTAACATTTCAGCTGGTACAGAAACCTCGAGGAACACGCTTCATTGGTGTCTCCTGACGATGGCTCTCCACCCTGACATCCAGAAGAAGGTGCACCAGGAGGTGGACTCCGTTATTGGTGCGTTGTAAGAAAGGCTGTTGCAATATTTAAACAATAACCTATAGACATCTTTGATATCCTATCATTAGCTTGTGTGATGAATAGATTGTACCTAGCTACGTATGAGTGTACACGGTCAGAACTTGCAGAAACTGCAAACACAAACTGATAGGGATACCAAGCCAACACAAAACACAAACGCTTACAAAGCTGACTTTGAAAACATGTAGCATTAAAGAAACTGCAAGTGTGTATTTGGACGTGAATATAAAATGTGACCGCTTCGGTTTGGACGTTAAGAGTAAAGCGGTAGACCAGTGACGATGTGGTATAATGAATGGTAGTGGGCAGTAGTAAACACATAGTGTGAAATGTGCATCAATAGGTTTCTCTAAATTGCGAGGGGGTTGATGAAGGAAGTTGCAAGTGTATTGGTAGGTACACCCAGGGAAGCATTTCATCATCTAAGCTTCCTCTGAACCTCACCGACAAAGAATGGATAACCCACGTCAGGCTGACCATCTGATCTTTTCCCTACTTGATTCAGAAGATACCATCCACCTGAAGAAGGGGCAAGAACTAGCCCAGAAATCAAGAAGTTGTCATCCATAAGATTTGTCTTGTATTACCATTATCCTGTATGTCCTTACATCATACACATGTGGTCCCATCGAGCCTCTTTTAAATGAATATGTTTGCATTTACTTTGGTAAAGTATCATTTTAGAACGGAATATTGCAAATAGCGGCGTAAAACCCACCTCCCACACGGTTTCTGTGAACATAGGATGCATAATGTTGTGTGATACCTGCCCAAGTAAAGCTGCGTAAGACCTTCTTGCAATGTGGTTAACTCATGACCTTGTCCATGGCTCCCTGACAGTGGTATTTGCTGTGGTTGCAGGTCCTGATCTGAACGTGCACGTTTCGGACAGGGAGAACTTGCCATACACCGATGCAGTGATACATGAGGTCATGAGGTTGAGGTCAGTCGTTCCCATTGGCGTTGCTCACTCCACGCTGTGCGATACCACAGTTGGTAGGTATTACAGTACGTTCCTCAAACGTGTGGAGGGTAGATAATAGTGTTTGATGAAGTCTTGGTTTCCTGCAACAATGGTCTTGTCACGTGGACATTACACGTGCCTGTCGTCGAGTTGTTGTCTCTGGTAGTCATGGCAGCGTGATACCTTTGATTGTTATGGTGATTATGGATATAACAATGATGACAATAGAAATCAGACGCTTGATTAAAACAAAGACAAGCGCCGAAGAAAAGTAATTTCCTTATGTCTGTGACGTTTGTTATTGGAAGAAAAGGTAAATGTAAACGATGTTGTGTTGAAATGTATGAGTTCGGTTTCTTTTAGTACTAAATATTGTGTATTTCGTAAATAAATTAATATATATGTTTATTTTTTGCATATCTGCTCTTCCGTCAAGGGTAAATGTTTTACCTCACTATGGATGCCGAGTATGATGCTTCAGTATATGCTTCGATGATGATGATGATGATGATGATAAATAGTTTTAATATCAAATGTGATTACGAATTGGTTTATGTCAGTTAAGATGTCTTTATCAAACCATCAGAAATTGGGATAGATGAATGTATTTCTTAAGATATTGATGATAATTTTCAGGTGGATATGATGTTCCCAAGGGAACAATGGTGATTATCAACCACGACGCCTTGCACTTTGACCCTGACCAATGGGAGGATGTCAATACGTTCAAACCTGAACGATTCCTTGACTCAGATGGAAAGATGGGTCCCAAGCCAGATAGCTGGCTTCCGTTCTCTGCCGGAAGGAGAGTTTGTCTCGGGGAGACAGTTGCAAAACCCGAGCTTCACCTCTTTCTTGCTGGAATACTGAGGGTTTCACCATATCACTTGCCCCGGGGACACAGCACGACTTTGAGCCACAGAGTACGGGGGCTGTTAATACTCCTGGGAGATACAAAATTGTCATGAAATCGAGAATTTAAGTTAGTGTTTTGTGTTCCATTTCGTGCAGAGTTTCAGTTTCATAGTTGGTCAAAAGACTGGAATAAAATCAATCAAGTGACAAATGCTGAGTTATTTACAGCTACTTCTGTGTGTAAAACGTGACAAAGACTCTCATGACAAGAGGGATGACTTCACGGCTATTTTGCCCTTACAACAAACAGAATATCTTACTGGGGATAGCTAAGACTGGGTATTCTTTAGCACTGACGTTATATCTTAACAGCTTTCTCAAATCTATTGTAGCAGCACAGTACCCCAAGCCAAACAATTATAAAAATAATTATCCATGCTTGTATAGATGCCTCTTAACCATTTCACTTGCTTGATGACGGTTACACCTAAACGTCATTACTGATTGTAATAAAGAATTTGTTCATCCATATACCTTATCTTTAGTCTGAAGTGATCTTGTGTTATGAATCTTCGTGCTCCGAAGTGTGGTGGAGCCTAACGGTGATCTGTTCCAATTATATAAAATAAACGATGGTTTATTTTTATATAATTGGATGAAAAAATTCTTTATTGCAATCACTAGCGACAGTTAGGTGTGACTGTCATCAAGCAAGTGATATGGTTAAGAGGCATCTATAAGCACGGAGAATTGTCTTTTTCCGGATACTGAAACCGAGCGGAAACCTACATTACCCAGTATCCGGTAGGTTTCAACAAGAACGGAAACCAAGTTATTTTTGCTGTGGTTTCTTTCCTAATACACTGAAATTCTGGACCAAACAAACTGAAAAACCTTTGTATCAGTGCCCAAAGTACAGTCCGAAATTTAACATGTGGGGTGGCATATCTGTGTTATCTGTGTATTTGAAATGAATATGAACAGTGAGCGGTATACGGATATTCTCGAGGGACATTTACTTCAATCTGCTCACGTGTTCTGTGGAATTGTTTTGATTTTCCAGCAGGACAACGACCCAAAACATCGTTCAAAGCATTCACAGGCCTGGTTTCGGACCCAAAATATGACATTATTAGATTGGCCAAGCTACAGCCCTGACCTAAATCTAATAGAAAATGTTTGGGGACTTATGAAGGAAAGTGTCAATAAGAAAAATCTGACAAATCTTGCTGAAATGAAAGAAGAGGTGGTCCGATATTGGGACAGCATGGACCACGACTTTCTAACTTCTTTGATCAGTAGTATGCCCTGCCGCATTGAAGCCTGCATTGCTGCCCATGGTGACTTGACAAAATACTAACTGTTCACCTGTCTTTGAATCTGGAGTTATGTTCTGCTAATATTCACATTTAATACGTGAGTAATGTGTGAATTTTTTTTTACAATCTTTAAATTCTCAATAATTTCTTGTTGTACATACATACATACATACATACATACATACATACATACATACATACATACATACATACATACATACATACATACATACATACATACATACATACATACATACATACATACATACATACATACATACATACATACATACACATGCACACACAAAGAGAGCGACACACAGACAGATAGACAGACAGACATGCAGGCAGGCAGACAGACAGACAGACAGACAGACAGACAGACAGAAAGACAGAAAGACAGACAGACAGACAAACACGCAATGAATGTGCGAATGATACTCAAAATATTAAGATATGCAGTATAACTCACTGTCAAAGCTCGATATTATAAGGTCAAAATATGGCTGAAATATTGCCGATGTGTCTTTAAATCTTAATTCACTCACTCACGATATTATAAGCCCAATAAAGTTATCTAGTTTGAAGTATGTGTGTGGAGGGCTTTTGGTGAATGACTTCTTACCAGCAAATGTATGGGGCCTTCCTGCGAAGTCTGCTTGCCTTGTAATGAGGGCTTCCGCTACAACATCGATTCGACTCAGAACAATTGCAGTTAGAGTACCTGAAAATCAATATGTTCATTTCTATTAATGTAAAGAATGTCATCCTCTTATCAGCGAATATATTGTATCCATACTTGTCTTCTGTGCAGGGTGCAGTGTTACGGTTGCAGTGTGAGAAAGAAACTACCCATATGACACACGATCCATGTCCAGACTGACCATCACAGTGGACCATATAAGGTGTCCTCAGCATTCACCCGAGAGCTGTATACATTCTCCATTCACTCAGTATGAAAGTTAGAATTGAAATACATACCGATTGTCCCATGGTGAGGATCATCACCTCGTTATTCACGTGGCAACCTAGCATTATCTAACGTGTATATAAAGGCAACAAAACCCTTCCAAAAGAAGGATCCAATCCGACATAAGGGTGCATTTAAAGATCACTATCAAATAGTGAGGGTTTCAGGTGTGCGTAACAAGGCGAGCATATCCTGTCCCACCCTTGACGCCCAATAGTGGAAACACATGCAGTGGCATGGCAAGTCAAACGTTCACATGTACACTTGACTGTACGGTGAAGAGGAACACTGTTCATGTATAGACAACTTCCTTATTGCAATAGATGCGACGTTCCCGGAAGTCTTGATCATACCAGCTTCTGCAAAACTACACGGTACGTATATAGTATGTGAAAAATGTAAATGCAGCAGGTATATTGTTTTCTGACCGATGCGTAAATTTGAAGATGGATTGCACAGTTTACCTGGGACATCATTGTACCATCGTAAAGCAGGTATTCTTACCCAACTGAATCCTCATAACTGAACCGTATGTTTTGCTCCAGTCACGGAATTTTCGGAACAGGAGAGTCCCTCGTATCTCTGGAGAGACAAGAAAAATCATCTTAATGATTTTTTACTTGCATGCCTCTTCTTACATGTTTAATTACATGAGAGAGAGAGAGTGGATTCGGTGTGAGCATGCGTGTTGCAATGCTCTCTGTCGATTTGTGTTTTCTTCGCAATCGTGGGATCAGCACCATAACCGGGCTCGGGCCTTCTGCCGCCAAAAGTCGACAAACCCCTTTCTTCACGCAGAGTCAGTATGGTTTTAGGCCGCTTTTACCAATATTCCCGCCATATCACGGTGGTGGGAACACCAGAAATGGCCTTCATACATTGTACCCCCGTGGGTAATTGAACCCGAGTCTTCAGCGTGAGACGAGATTACTCCATTACCCATCTTCACACAGAAATTGCATCACTGACAGTGAACCCAACCTGCCCTCAATGCAGGATGACAAAGCAATATGCGTCAATGTGAGCGCAAGGTGTTGCTTCTATAGTTCCTTTGGCATCATCAATTACAGAAAACTATCAGTTTTATATTTATGGAGAACGTAGCACGTATAACCTACCAGAATACCAATAAACGAATATTAAGAATACACATGTTTTAATAGTGAGTGAGTGGGTGAGTTTAGTTTTACGCCGCTTTTAGCAATATTCCAGCAGTATCACGACGGGGGACACCAGAAATGGGCTTCACACATTGTACCCATGTGGGGAATCGAACCCGGGTCTTCGGCGTGACGAGCGAACGCTTTAACCACTAGGCTACTCCACCGCCCCACATGTTTTAATATACATGTTGGCAATCATTAAAATAATCTTACATAATCTTTGATATTTATGAAGACCGTAACTGATAAGCTTCACTTTCCTTTCAAGCAGGCTGGCAGAATAATATCATAATGGATGCACAACTTATTATATAAACTGAATTGAATGACGTGAACACTTCTTTTGTACAGAACATTATCAAAGATCATATGGCGAACGGTATTCTACTGAATGAGTACACCGTACATCTAAAAAGAGATTACTGAGAACGTGGCGCCGTATGAACATCAGCATATAAGCATATACTTGCTTGACAACGATACAAGAATCTGTATCGAAACGTCGCATCACCTGAATAAAGAAGTTGTGCATTCATAAAGTTTGTCCGAATATTACTCTCAAACTTCTAAATAATGCCACTCAAAGAACTTATATTTCACTATATACTATTTTGACGTACACTAAATTATTCGATTAGTGCTACATGGTCTGACCTAACTATGGTCTGACCTCAAAATATTTCCTGGTGTACTTAATCCACACTGCCTAATTTAAATGATTATGT